GGGAAGCGTTGGCAGGAGCCGGCGGGGTGGGGGGACGCGAGCGGAGGCACGGTGCGCGCAGGCAGTGGCGGGCACGAGCTCCGCGCCTGGAGAAGGAGGAGCCAGGCCTGGGAGGAGGGCTAACGAGGTTCCAGGGCACGCAGGGACCCCCAACCCCGCGCCCGATCCCGAGTAACTGCCCGCCAGGCACCTGCAGTCGCACAGCCCCGAGCAGCAGCTGCAGGCGCTCGAGTGCTCCTGGAGCATCGCTCCGGAGCATCCACGCCGCGCGGGAGAAGCGGAGTCCACGCGACGCCCGAGACTGCGCCCCGCGGCCGCCCGCCAGGGCTATCCCGCGGTCCCGAGGTTCCTGGGGGCTGTCGGTGGGTGTGGGTGAGGAGCTGAGAATGCAGTGTTTCGGTGTTGCCTTAAGTCCACGGGGCCGCGCCCTGCCTCTCGCTCTGCTTCTCGTCCCCCAACATCTCCGGCTTGGGAGCGATGTGGCTGCGGAGGAGAGGTAAAGAGCTACTGTTCCAGCTGGAAGGCAAGGGGGCTAAATCACGCCTTTACTTAGTCATCAGCGCATCCACGCAGGACCAAGTTCAATACATATTCGTGGAATCAGACAGCAGGAAGTTTCTTTGATTTCTTGAGCTAGCTTGCGCTTGCTCTCGCTCTCTCGCTCGCTCGCTCGCTCTCTCTTCTCTCTCTCTCTCTCTCTCTCTCTCTCTCTCTCTCGATCTCTCTTCCTTAACACTCCTGCCCATCAGGACCAATATCTACTCAAAGCTCGGAGGCTTGAACACTTCCTTGAGCCGGTCTATAATGTCCATTTGCAGATTATACTCCTTGGGAAACCTCCCGCTCACACTCAGCAATTCTTTTTGCCCATCTCTTTTCAAAGGCGGCCTCTCTACCTGGTGATCAAACTCAATCAACAGCTCTAAAAAAGTTTACATTTCTCCAGAGCAAAATTGTACCTGCTGTGTTTCTTCTAGCTCTGATTCTCTCCCCAGAGGCTGTAAGGTTTCCCCCTTTAAGGGCTTCCCC